ATCGCTCTCTGGTCACGATCGAGATACCGTTCGTCACGTGATGTTCATTCGCACCATCATCATGGCCACGATCTGTGCTTAGCTCTGCCAGGTGCCGGGCGTGCCTGACAGCCGCCCTCAGGATCTCGCATGCAACGGATAGGCATGTTCTGCGACGGAGCAAGGGAAGGCACCCTCGTGATAGTGGTTCGAGCGGTGTTTCCCCCTTCATGATAACGCCTGCGGCCGAGGTTGACTCAGTATCGACCTCAGCCCCAGCCCTCATTCGATTTACGGTCGGGGAAGCGCGTTCACAGGCCCTGATTGCAATTGAACGGGAACCGCCATCATATGCGAAGAGGTGAGAGATGTCCGGACATCATGCAATGCAAATAAGAGAAACTCATACCAACTCGAGAGGATGATTGTTCCTTTGAAACAAAGCTGAACCATGCACAAAGATTACCTATTGTCGCCGGCGCTGTTGTGTTTTTGTCCTGTCTTCAAATGGGAAACGCTCATAGTAGAATTTGTCCAGGCAGAGTCCAGACAAATTTGAATTCGTGAGGGTCAATATGCGTGAAGCAAGTGTGGAGATTTGAACCTTGTACGGCCTGAAACTATTTCAAAATGTGGTTACCCTAATATCTCCTTCGGGTTCCACCAGAGCAGGGCTCTCGCAATGGAAGGCAGGAGCTGTGATCCCGCTCGCCAAAGCTCTAGTGAACCGCCACTGCCATCACGGCTGCCGTTGACTTGCTGCCACCGCTCTTGCTGAAGCTGCTGCTGTTGCTTTCCCGTGCGCTCTTTGTCCGTTGTTGTCGAATTTCTTACACCGTCTCCGTCGCCGCCAGTTTGTGTCGAACAACTCGTGGCCGTTTCGTGGGGACGACGGTACCAATGGCCTGCATTCAAGCGCAAGAGCTCTGCCTCGTGTAGGGCGTCTTCCGCCTCTTGCCGAAGGAACACGAGAAGGTCACCCAGCGGAGGCGTCGTATGCAACATCTCTTCCGACCACCCCCACCCGCTGTGATCGGCTTTGGTGCCCCGTTCATCGGAGGGAATGGCAGAATCTTCTACCGAATGCTGCCCGCTGGTTTTGGTGGCGATTATATGGCCAGACAGTTCTTGGGCCATGCGACCTTCCACAAGGCTTTTCAGAACGCCTTCGTAAACTAGTAGGGCTCCTTCACCGAGCTTCCACGACGGAGCAGTACTGCCGCCGCTGCCACTGCTGCCGAGTTTGGCACCGTCGCGACTGTTTGTTGTGGTTGGTGCGGTCGGGTGGGTTTCGCCATCAACCAACAGATGTTGTTGTCTCGAAGAAGATCGAAGTAGCGCCCATAAGACTATGCGTGCCGACTTGTGATGGAACTGAGAAGAATCCTCGAAACTCACTGTCCCTGCCGTGTTTCGCGATGGTGCGGTAGTTGAGGCTATTCGAAGCAACACGGCTCCAGCGGCTTGACGCAGTGCGGTCCCCGGGTGGCCCATGTAGGACCTGATTCGCCGGAAGAAACGGCAGGGACACGATCCAACAGTTGCGTCAAAGCAACTGCAACTGAAGGGTTTGGTTGTTTCCGATCTCACCGACCAACGAAGCAGCAGTTTCATCTTTTCGTGCGTCATCCGTCACATTCCCGCGTCTGAAAAAATCGACCCGACTACACAGGGGCTAGTTGGTTGTGCCGCATGTTTTGGTCCACCGGAAACCTTCTCCCCCGTCCCGTCCATGTAGCATTGGTCAGGCCAAACCCGTAAATTCAATGAGCGGTCTCGTTGTTGAAGCTAGAAAGGTAACGAGCGGTCTCTTCGTTGAAACGCACCTCAAAACCGAGAACAAGCGTTCCCAGGTATCTCCGACAGTCCCGTGCGGGAGGACGCCTCGTTCCCCCAGTAAGTGCTGCAGAAGGTCAAGCAGACCGCTAACTCGATCGCACCTGCTCCTTGTGCCTGCCGGAGAAGGTTCAGAGGGCACTCCCGCGTCATCCCTTCTCACCCCAATCCTCGCTGCCCCGCGTACGCCGCAGCCAGCGCTCGTCTTCGCAGCACCAGCCGCGGCTTCGCCGGATTCAATCGCCCCCGGGAGCGGACAAGACGACGTTGTCCTTGAGCTACCGGGCCGCCCGTTCGTGCCCTTCTCCTCCTCTTCGGAGGTCTCCTGTGTCCGCTCTAGTTCCAGGCTCTTGACGGTCCTTCGATACAGCGCTAGCGCTGCTCGAGGGCCGAGGGTGAGCGCTTGCGCGTGCAGCAGCCCGACCGCGGCCTCGCGAACGGCCGCCTGGCGGTGGGACAGGCAGTCGAACGCCACCTCTACGCCATTCACCACCGGTGGTGGGTAATGTCTAGCCGTGGTCGAAATACCCCGGGGTGTACCTGCTGTGGCTGGAGCTGACGCTTGCGCTGGCGCAGTCGCAAGCGACAGCTCTGCGGCCAGGGGCGGTGGCGGTGTTGGTTGCAAAGACGGGGGGTCCGCACCAGCTGCAACCACTTCGGCGACAAACTCGGCCAGCGCTGCGTCTCTTTGCATGCTCGACCTTGGTGCCACCGGCTCCTCCCTTGCATCTCGGGAGCGTTCGATGGGGGGAGTTTGTTCAGGAGCCGAGGAGAGGCTCGTCGTGCGGCACGTTATTCCTATTGCCGGTATTCCCCCTGCGGCTGGAAGCACCAACGAAGCTGTCGCTGTTGAAGCTGCAGCTCCTTCCACGGCCGCGCGCATCCCCAACAGCAACCCGTGCATTCGTTTCCATTGGCAGGGCTGGTTGTTGTCGGGCTCCGGAAGGAGCAAGGAATCGTTGCATCTGGCGGCGGCCTTAAGGTAAAGGGCCCGCGCCTGTCGGTTGTGTAAACCACATGAGCGTCGCGAACAACCAACGCCGTTAAAAGACTAAGAGATGAGACGAACATGTGGAGGCGGATGATGAGTCTCCGTCATCAGCTACAACCCAACACTTGAAGAGTTTCTGAACAAGGAAACGTCCCCGTTGGGGTAGGCAGAGTTTGGGTGCGAGAGTGGGAGCGTTCGCTGCAAGCCGGTAGAAATTGGCTGTGCGTTCGATACCCGGTGCTGTTGCGTAAGTAGTTGGTCCGTCTCGGAAACAAACAAACGTGTGTTTTGCAGCCTCTGGACCGCAGAGCGTTCCATCGCAAAACGTCACTACACCGAGTCCCACCCGCCTTTTACCTCGACGGGCCCAAATGTTTCCACCAACGATCTCGCGTGCGCCGTCGCCATCTTGCGTATTTCCGACCAGCTGTCACCAAGAATCGAGATAACGATATCCTGTAGGTGTGAAAGATGTGTGGGCTCTTAGCGGCAGGTGATCAGCAAGCTATCAGTGAACAAGGATAACGTAAGACTCTTTCCCACCTCGAAATGCCTGGCCCAGCATCGCCAACAAAACGATGGGGGGAGGGGGGGGGGTGCTATACACCGTACAGTTGTTGAAGTGTGCTCTTGGACGGGCGATGCAGGATTTTGTTGAAGTCCAGGGGGTGTAGACACCGCAGGCTATAGTTGTCGCCCGTCTCTAAGAGGCCGTTCTGACAATGAGTGCAAGTCGCTACCAAAAAGTAACGACGATGAGGGGTCACACGACTAGGTCCATCTTCGGGATAATAAAAAACGTTTTGCGGCGGGCAGCCGGTCACTTTAGGGGGGCAGCACGTGATGGAGAAATTGTCTCCGACAACGCAAGGACGAACTTGCAATCGCTCTGGCAAACGAGTTTAGGAGCATCCTCTCATCATGAATGCTTCTCACCCAAACAAGATCTATTCTTTCTTCCGCGTCCGAGCTGTGGCTTATGTTGCCTCCTTCTCCCTGAAGCATAACTTTTTCTCCTTTGCGCTCCGTCGGGCTCTCCTCCTCGTTCTCAAATAGCCCTAGCAACAAGCTCAATAATCGTTCATAAAGAACCCGCCTGGAGGTGTCCTTGTCGATCGTTGAACTCTCCTTACTTGCTTGGCGGGTATTGCTTCGGCGGAGGCCGCAGATCTCTGCTTGTGTTGCCAGCGAACCTACCACCTTCCCAGCCGGCGATACGACGTTCACAGTCGGCATCTGCGGCAGAGATAAATCCTGTTCATTAGCCAGTTGACCCATGGACCCAGACACAATGCTAGCATCGGTACACCTCGCCCCTGCCGACACCGCGTCCGTGGACGGTGGAACCGGCGGCGGTGGTGGTAGCGAGGGCAACGGTTGCCGGTCTTGCTCTTGTTCCGATGGAATATGGGGGTTGTTGCCGCCATCCATGTTGCCCGCAGATCGCCATGGCGACGGGGACGACCTCAAGCGATACAACAGCTGCCCGTGTCTGGTCTCGTCGGAGTCGTCGAAGGGTATCGTTTGCGGCCTGTTTTCGTGAGCGAAGTCCCTCGCGTAGACCTCAGTATGCATTGCGGTAATAGCGGGAGGTGGCTCATGTAGAACGTCGGCTCCAACTAGCACCGCGATTGATTTCAACACGACGCTGATCGATAGCCCATCTTCACAGCCGTAGGGAAGATAGAGAACGCTGTCCGTTGCCTGGGGTGTTCGAAGTGTCTCGGAGTTGTCGGCTTTGACCCTGCAGGAGTTGGTTTCGCCCCTTGGACAAAGTGGTTTTCTTACCCTGTTTCTTGCGCGGTGACACATGGCCACGAGGGTCTCCAAGGATGGAAATACTTGTATTTTGCGAGTACGCGAATCCTTGGCATCATCGGGATAATTATTCTCATCCCCGAGGAGTTCAACAGCCAGCAACGCCGCGACTTGCTCTATCTGCCATGTCGAGGAGGCTGCCGTTGTTTCCATGTTACACGACGATCACCCCAAAAGTGCTTGTGGTGCCACCGACGGAGACGAAGCCTTGTGTACCGCAACGCCGGTCTGTTGGTTGCCTATCGTCGCGTATGGTCACATCATCATTCCTCGCTGATGGGATCCGACCAAACAAAGGTGAAACGAGCGAAATCAGCCACTAAACTCCCTGTTGTCTGTAGCAACAATATCTTTGACAACCCAAAAGTAGCATGCATACGTACCGATTATGTACTCTACTTGTATAGACTCTACATGAAAAGTGTCACGTCTCACCACGAAAAATGGGGGGACTGTCGCCATAATAAATAGGACGAAAACACATATCCTAGTACTCCACTCTCAGCGTGGGACAGAAAATGTAGCTCTTCACGGGCGGGCGTGAAGCGCATCATCATCGTGCTCGGTGTAGTTGGGTACTCTTTGCACTAGATATTTTGAGCTCTCATGCCGTGCGTGTACCCTGAGTTCGATGTATCCGTGGATTTTTATGCACAACTTGTTACTATTTTGCTATTTGGACACGATGGTGTCTTCGCCGAGTACGCATAGACTACATAAGTTCCCAGGAGTCGGTCTTTTTGCGCCGTCCCGTTTAGACTCCAGTACGATTGACGCCAATCTAGTTTCATCTCAATGATGTCGTTCACCGCAGGTGCTTTTTGAGCAAGATGAATCAACAAGAATGCGGAGGCTATTTTCTGGAGAGCTGCAACCGTACGGCATCCTTACATCACGTACGCGATCGGTTCAATCCAATCACAGCCGCGTCTGTATACCCAAACATTGGATTCAACGAGTATCGAGACTGCACGCGGTGATCACAACTTTTGGAGACTTCAATAGAAGCGAATTACGTGACACATTCATGTTTTCCAGGCACCTTTTTCGGTGCCCTGTTAGTAGTGGAACGGCGGGCAGGCCTGCGAAGTCTTGCATTCCACTGATGGTGTCCACCTGGATACTCTACACATACATCATGCAATGTGTTGGAGTATTTGTGTACAAGAACGACTGGTTCTACTGCATGGGTTCTGTGCAGTATTGTGAAGGCGTGTTTCCAAGTCTGTAACCGTCAGGTGAAGACAGCTTGGGCGTCTGAGTGTGGATAATAAATCACTCTGTGTTTACCCTACCTACACCTCGCATGAACAATGCCAGCAGCTCGAGAGGACAGCGTCCCTCGCTGCACAGCGTAAGCCACTTCGCACAACACAATGTACCCTATGGAATCTTCCAGGGGGGCACGCAAATGTTGACACTTGGGGCTCGACGGGGGCGGTGTACCGTCACGCAAACGTCACGGGGGTCCATTCAAATTCTCGGAACCAGCGCCAGCACCTTACACACCACCTGCTGGGCCGTAGGGATCTTCACACAGATTGCTCCATGCTCAGGTACGCTTGCTGATCCTCTGCCGGTGCTCTGGTTGTTGTCGTGTTGCATAGTATTGTGCTCGCCATGGGGTGCTGTGTCTGTGATGTCGCGCGCTTTATATGAAGGATACGGTGCTGGGCGGGGTTATACAGCAACCCGCGGTGACGATGCACGTACACGGCCTTCTGTTTAGCGTATACATAGAGATGCAAAACAGGCTGACTGCGTGCTACAGCAGTATCTTGTTGGCGCACAGTCGGATTCATCGTGTGTTGGTGTCAGCAGTTGTTCTTTGCGTAAAATGTGCGGGACGCGTGTATACAGCAGTACGTTGTAGTGCAGCAGCAGTAGTAGTAGATGGGGTATGATGTATGTGTCAACCTCGGAGCAATCGAGGTGTAAAACGTACAGCGATGATCGCCTGATATTGTCTCATCTGTGTGTGGCACGGGGTATGTTGGACCATTCTGACCGCGCAGACTGCATACCCCAAATACCCCTGAACGATCAACCTATCCGAAAAATACCCGTCGGCCCCCTCTTACAGACAAAGAAAGATCGGATACACATAAACGATCAGTTGCTGTGAGAATCTCTTCTCGCTACTTCTTGTGTTTGCCACAAGGTGAGTAATAAAATTCGAACGGTAAACAACGTGTGTTAGGTTATTTGCTTGCCGGGATATTCTGACTTTTGTAAAACGATATTGCAGCATGCTGACCACACCTACCTGCCATCATCATGTTGTAGACGCGAACAAAGTTTGGCTTCCCCATCTCCCACTCACACCTATATCCAACAACCTCCACACAAGAACAACACATCGTCTACAAGGGAGGGACCACCGGCGTCATGCGGACAACTGTCTTGACTATGGCCGTACCGGCCGTAGCGGGTTGGTCCAATAGCATACGGGCATCCTCCGGTGGTATCCGAGGATCGTGCCTCCAGATGGAGGACGTTGCCATCTCGTCGACCTGCGATTCATCTCGGCACGAGAAATTGACGAGGTTTGCGTTCACTATGGCACAGGTGAGCATCGACCATTGGATCGCCTCCGGTGCGCTTGTCAGTTGCTGTTGCTGCTGCTTGTTGCCTCTGGATCCTGCAGAATGAGAGGGCAAACGTGGTGTAGCAGCGATGTGTCAGAAAGACAGGTTGTATGTGATGCAGGATCCAGCTTCACCGATGCAGGATCCAGCCTAATTTCTTGTGCGTACCCTTCGAAGGCAGCGTACCCGTACACCACGGTCGTCGCATGTCTAATACCTAGCTCGCTGACATGCCAGCCTTGGTTGCACGTCGTCCAATGGCGACTATTTACTACGCGGTTGCACTGCTGATGATGCAACTCTACCATCTTAAGCATACTAGGACACATTAACCCGCTCGTGCACCATCCGGCTATCGACTGCTCATGTATGTAGCTTACAGTACGCAGCACTCATCAGTACAGAGCCACATTTGATTGTAATACTGTTCTTTTTCGAGTGGAACGGCATCCTGATGGCGGACCTTCTCGCCAATTAAAAAGCCCTTGTTCCCGTTCTCCGCCGCTAATTTATGCACAATGTGACTTACTTCTTGCGGGTGGCTGGACGAAAAACTCCCCGCCGCCGACAGGGCTCCAGTGGTACGGCAGGTGCGGCGTGTGGAGAAAATGAAGAGATTTTTGTTAATGGTCAACGAACAACAACAACGTGCTGAAGAATAAATAGCCCGCTTTATTTAGTGTTTTCTCGTGTTCGAGTCCTTTACAACGATGACGTAACAATAGACTAAGTACGTACATCCGGATTTATTTGTCTGTGAAGTAAATGCGAGATTACCTCAATCGCAGCGAGACCTCTCCAAGACTACCGATTTTTTTTCAATATTCTGGTGATACGATTGATACGAGTAGAGCAGAGGTCGGCACGCTCTCTCTGTGCTGCGAGGACAATAGCAGCAACAACAAATCGTGTGGGACGGAACATGAGGATCGTTGACTACCGGCGGCAGATTGACAACAAATTCATGCGTGCGTGCTGACCAAATCTGGCCACACTTCCTTCCATCGTCTGCAATACTGAAAAAATTATTCCAGGCAGGTTTTTTATCTACAGCACATCCTACGGTACCACCCCACCTCCCGTTCCCGTGCTTGCGTGCCTTCCTCGCTGTCTAGCATTCCCAATCGCTACTATTTCTCTCTCCGTCCGTACCGCCGTGCTGCGCGAACTCACCTCGGCTAAACCTACCTTCGCTTGCGACCGCTGGAAGTAGACGCATTAGAGAACGGGCCGGGTAGTTTTTCTGTGTGTGTATTTATTTCCTAATAGTTATATTATTATTTAGTATATTTTTATTCAAAACAACTCCCTGACTCCCATTGCCCCAACATTAAAACATGCAACCTACTCAAGCTTGACCTTTTCGCTGTCCTCCTACTCGCCACGCGTTTGTGCGTGAACGCCGACGACTCAGGACCCTGCAACACCCCTGGAGAACCCGTCAGCTTAGAGTTCAACGCGCCGGTTACCTCGACCTTCCACCTGCTACGCGAAGGTGGCGAGGTCGACAACAACAAGGTGACCATAGTATTTTGGTGGTGTAGTTATTGTTGCTGCTGTCCGGCCGCGTGTACCCGTGCTTTGCTTTTTTTCTCTCCAATACACGCCCTTCTCGAACCGCAATCAATCGTGCCCTCTTGAAATTCCGTTTCGGATTGTACGCCAACCGCGCAGCAGTACCCTCACCTCCCCTCGCGCGGTCAGAAAATTTGGCCCCCGTCAGAGACGAACCGCCCGTGCGTGACACCACTTTTAATTTAGTTCTTCCATGAATAATTCCTTTAGCTCTCACATTCTTCACAATCATGTCACCAAACACGGAAGACCCCTTCCCTTCATTCTATGCCCTTCCTTGGTCTTTGCCCTCTGTCATCGTGAATCGTTCAGGTAACATTCCTCGCCGAAGACCACCTGGAGTTGTCCGTTATCCTCGACACTACCGGACTCGCCGACGGCCAAGCCATCCTCGGTTCTGGCGGCTCTCTTCGAGGCCCCTGGACTGTTCCTGAGTGCAACGACGCCAACCGGTAAGGGCAGCATCATCAGCGCCGGGAAACTCTGACTATGGTTCCGCTCTCTCTCCATCTCTGTTCCCGTGTGGGTCTTTGTGGCGACGGTTCGAGTTATCTTGAGCCCCCCACCCCACCCGGCCGTCCCCGCCGCTCCACTCTCCCATGTTCTGGTACTCTGTGTCACGAGTATCGGGATTCTTGGGTACTGCTTGACCATTGATGCGAACTGCTGCAACGCTGAAACGAGACGAAGAAATGTTTCTCAACCACTATCCGTTGGTACGCTTCTCGCCACCACCCAAGCACAACTTATCGAAACTAGCGGAGCTCTTTGCAGTTGAGTGTGGCGTGTAAGTTGTTGTTTGCCCCTACCTCTCTACTCATCATACCCATAGCTTCAAGATAGTTCTGCCCGTGTGTATTGTGCTTGGTTCGTTCAGGTGTCCTCTACAATTTCAAGAACACGCCCCGAAACAAAAACACTTCGTAGACCCTCTCTCGTATGCAAACTGCCCGTGCCGGGCGCTCCCTCAACGTGGTAGACGAAAGCCGAATGACTCTAGTACAAACAAACACGTTGTCGGCCCCTTGATGGTCGGAAACGTTCAGCTTCTTGACTACAACAGTGTGATCGGTACCCGTCACGCTTTAATCCGCGGTTATAGCCTCGACTGTATACACGTCGGGAGGATGGCATCGATTCTTGACGACGGTTTGCCTTCCAAGAATGAATGAGTCTATCACTGCCGCCATTCGCCGCTTGTAGATAGGCCCAACGACACACTCAAGCGAAAACCAGACATACATGCACATAATTCGGAGGCGTGCATTGTCAACGTCACTCAATTCTTGGACACAAAACGCACCGATGGAACTACATGAAAACCACTCCGCCCTGACATCAAACGAGAAGCAATCCGCTACGAGACTATTTAGTAGCTGGGCGTGTGCCCGTGCTTGTGCTTCGCCTTGGGGGCGAAATTAGCAGCTGTCTTGCGCCGTACGATTCCGCCCCCCACTAAGTCTTATCCCTGCTCCTGCTTCCCGCCCCCCGGTCGGGGCCCAAATTTTCGTGTTGTCCAGGTCCGCCGCCGCTATCTCGTTCGGGCGCAAGCTCCGCGGGACCACCCCTTCTCCGATCGAGACGGTCAACGCAAGCGAAACTCCCGCCACCGCTGACGAAAACGATGGCGGCGTCGCTGGCGACGTCACGCCGGCACCGACAGCAGCGCCCGAGGACGTGGAGGAAGACGAGGGTACTACGGCGGCGCCTGCGGCTGATGAGTCCACCCCCTCCCCGACCAAAACGGACGCAGCATCTCCGTCAGAGGTAGAGGTGAATCTCGACGAGGACAACACTGATGATGATGATGAAGACGACTGCTCTGCTTGCTTGGACCTGTCGTCCGTTGAGGAAGAGGCCCTCATCACGGACACCCACGGCGTGAAGCGGATCGTGTGCGACGCGACCTGCAATGTCGACGGTGCCGACAACACTCACTGCAACTGTGAGTGGGAACTAAAGCGACTTTTTCATCTTTCATCAGCGTTTCGAAATGCTTCCGAACCATTGCTTGGGCGGTCCACCAATAGCCTTGTTTCCAATACTGCAGTCTACGTAGGTTTTCCTATGGAGCAAACATCCTGGATAACGCGAAGAATCGGCTAATTTGTGGTTGGGGTTAGGGTTAGGACCTTGTTTCCGAACGATTGCTTGGGTGGTCCCCCATTAGGCTTGAGCACCATCAACAACATCTGCCAACCCTAGCAGTATAGGGCGTAGACTTACGAGGAGCACTCCTGTATGGCAATGCCTATGCAGTCCTCAAGCTGCACTATGTCCCCAAACACTACAATCTAGCGCTCTTTTTAAAAGATGCAAACGGGGTAGAGAGCCGGAGAGAGTGTAGGCAAACCCAATGATCCGATATTTCCGTTACATACATGATCATATCCTGCTCAACAGAGGGGTTGTACAGTAGTCATGTTCCTCTGCCGCCAAGTCGTTTGATAGTAGCGGGTCCTCTCATTGAAAAATCAGCTTTCACCGCAAGCCTTCCGTCCCGACTTTTCCCCAACAAATCTTTACGCCCCCACCTCCCCTGATCCATCTGCCGTCATGACTTTCGACAGTAACGGATCCTCCCATTGAAAAATCAGCTTTCACCGCATAGACTTCCGTGCCGACCTTCCCCAAAAAAATCCTTACGCCCCCCTTTCCATCGCCTTTCGTCCACCCCCGCGCAGACTTCGGCCTCGGACAGATCTGCCGCGGCTGCGGAGAATGCGACAACGGCTACTGCCAGCCTTGCCCGGACGAAAGCACACCGTCGCCGACCTTCGGGACAGACCTGGACGACCGCGAGACTCCAAGCCCCGCGACGCCGGCGCCTTCCTCCGCGCCAGTGAAGGACACTCCCGCGCCCGTGACCCCAGTGCCGACTAATGCCGCGACCCTTGTGCCCGACGTAGCAACACCGTCACCGACAGAGCCCCAGGGTGACCTCCCCGAGACTCCGAGCCCCGAGACGCCAGCACCTTCCTCTGCGCCAGTGAAGGACACGCCTTCGCCAGAGACTCCGTCGCCGACCACCGCCACGACGCTTGCCCCCGACGTAGTCACACCATCACCGATGACAACACCCGAACCTTCCCCGGCCCCCTTTACAGAGACCCCTGAGACTACGTCACCGACAACGGCCCCCGTTACGGAGACCCCTGACACCACTCCACCGACAACGGCCCCTGTCGACGTAGCCACACCGTCACCGACGACGACCCCCGAACCATCCCCGGCCCCCGCTACAGAGACTCCTGAGACTACGCCACCGACAACGGCGCCCGCTACAGAGACCCCTGAGACTACGACACCGACAACGGCCCCCATTACGGAGACCCCTGAGACTACTCCACCGACAACGGCCCCCGTTACGGAGACTCCTGACACCACTCCACCGACAACGGCCCCTGTCGACGTAGTCACGCCGGTACCGACGACGACGCCCGAACCATCCCCGGCCCCCGTTACGGAGACCCCTGAGACTACTCCACCGACAACGGCCCCCGCTACAGAGACCCCTGAGACTACGCCACCGACAACGGCCTCCGTTACGAAGACTCCTGAGACTACGACACCGACAACGGCCCCCGTTACGAAGATCCCTGAGACTACTCCACCGACATCGGCCCCCGTTACGGAGACTCCTGATACCACGCCACCGACAACGGCCCCTGTCGACGTAGTCACGCCGGTACCGACGACGACGCCCGAACCATCCCCGGCCCCCGTTACGGAGACCCCTGAGACTATTCCACCGACAACGGCCCCCGCTACAGAGACCCCTGAGACTACGTCACCGACAACGGCCTCCGTTACGGAGACTCCTGAGACCACTCCACCGACAACGGTCCCCGTTATGAAGATCCCTGAGACTACGCCACCGACAACGGCCCCCGTTACGGAGACTCCTGAGACCACGCCACCGACAACGGCCCCTGTCGACGTAGCCACGCCGGTACCGACGACGACACCCGAACCATCCCCGGCCCCCGTTACGGAGATCCCTGAGACTACTCCACCGACAACGGCCCCTGTCGGCAGCACGCCGGCCCCATTCGTCCCTGGGCTTGACTTGGACGAAAATCAGTACGACTGCTCCGTATGCTCGGAGGTATCGGAAGAAGATGCCGAGGCCCTGGTCAACGACGACAAGGGCGTGAAGCAGATCGTGTGTGACCCCGCCTGCGTGGGCGAAGCCGCCGACGTCCTTCACTGCAACTGTGAGAGAGACCTGCTGCTTGCGTTTACTCTAAGACCAGAAAGGTGGCGCCTCACGTTACTTTCGGGGTGGATCTAGATGTATGGATTGATTCGCCAGTGTACCGTCAGTAGATTACCTCGTTTGGGCGCGCCGTGGTTTGACTGAACAGACCATGCACATTATTATATAGTTCTCGTAGACCAACGTTTTTTCAACGTAGGCATCGACGACCAATGCAAGAATTAGTAAAATAGTAGAAGCAGTAGAGGACGCGACAGAGAAAAGGCCTTTCTATCGCAACCACCCCTGTATTTAACACTGGGTCAAAAGCTTCATTCTCCCACACGGCACTCCGTAGGATCTGATTTTTAACGCGCACCATTGGCACGTTGTCGCTCGTTGTCGGTGAAACGGCTCGACAAGGTGCCCTGCTTCATCCACCCTCCAACACAAAAAAAATTGCTTCTACTTCCTCTGTATCATAAGTCTGGTCCGTTAGGTTTATGCGCCCCCTTAACGGTGCCCGATCTGTTTTTCGTTTTTTTTGTTGAATTCTCCGGTGTTTTTTTAGCAAGAAAAAGTTTGTTTTTTTTAGAGCTGGTGCTTGAACCATGCGGCTGAACGGCCGGAAAACATTGAGTCGGCCCAAAAACGGCCATATTTTGCCCATTTCCAGGGGGAGGGGTAGGTGGGGCACTGGCCTAAACCCCCCCAAAAAAAACACAAGAATTATCCCCAACCCTAAAGCTAACCCCGCCTAGACTCAACCATCCATAACACGTCCCCCATACTAAAACCATAATAATAGTGACCCACACACTAAATTCAAGACACTTTGGGGTCCCACACTAAAACCAAGACACTTTGCGGGGCAAAAAAACAACAGAGTAGGGCCCGAACCCCCCCCCCTCTACTCAACGATCTACGTCGCGTCCCGCTATACTTAAACCAGTATAGTAGTGACCCCACACCAAAACTAAGACACTTGGGGTTCCGCATTAAAAACAAGACACTTGGGGAGCCCACACTAAAGCCAAGACACTTGCGGGTAAAAAAAAAGTGTCTGTTGGTGTCGGGGGGAAAAATGTCGACTAGTCGTCCTCGCCGTCGCTGGGACTCGATGCCATCCAGGCGTGAGCCCTCTCGAAAGCCTCCTTGTCGTATAAGGGTTAGGGTTAGGGTCATCCATCGTTTGTATAGTGTGTGGGGGGTGGTAGTCACGACTTATCTCACGAATTCTCAAAGAATTATTAAAAAAAATCTCATAAACGTTCTCGTAAAAATTCTCAAAACGGGCCAAAATGGGCATATTTTGACCTAATTTTAGTGCCTAACACGGTCTTCGTTTTTTTTTTTTTTTAATTCAGCTTGGTATGTGCTTTGCCTTTCTAACGCACCCGGCTAAAGGCTAAACGTCAACGTGTAAGTACCCTTACGACTACGCGCACATAGCGGACCAGACTTATGATACAGAGGAAGTATGTGTATTGGTGTGCATATACCTGGAGAAAACATTGCCTCCCCTTACATGCTACGAGATCTGCGTATGAAATTAGGCTTCATTAGGCGCATGGAACCGGGAAAGGGGTTAAGGTTGAAAAACACATCGCACCGTTCCAAGCCTCCGGAATCTATGTTCGACTCATTAGTGACTCTCTCTTTTGCCGCACGGATGTTTCGATTCCCAATCCTTACAGACTTCGGTCTGGGGCAGATTTGCCGCGGCTGCGGAGAGTGCGATGACGGGTGGTGCCAGCCTTGCCCGGACGCAACGCCTTCGCCAGTCGTACCCGCACCCTCACCGGCACCACTCGGCTTTGATGATCTTTCCACCCCGAGCCCGGTCACGCCAGAGACACCCGCGCCGGTGAAGTCCACGCCCTCGACCGAGACGCCGGAGACCGCACCGCCGACCGTTGCCGAGACGCCCGAGCCCGAAGTGCCTACTCCCTCGCCGACTGTGGTGCCCGAGACCACCTTTGATCCTTCCACTCCGACCCCCGTCACGCCAGAGACACCCGTGCCTTTCGCTAAGCCGGTGAAGCACACGCCCTCCCCCGAGACGCCGGAGACCGCACCGCCGACCGTTGCCGAGACCCCTGCGCCCAAAGCGATTACCCCCTCGCCGACGATGGAGCCCGACCTCGGCTTTGATCTTTTTACCACTCCGAGCCCCGTCACGCCCGAGACACCCGCGCCTTCCGCTAAGCCGGTGATGCACACGCCCTCCCCCGAGACGCCGGAGACCACACCGCCGACCGTTGCCGAGACGCCCGAGCCCGAAGTACCTACTCCCTCGCCGACGATGATGCCGCTCGGAGCCGACGGTGCTGTTGACGACGACGAGTGCTCCGTCTGCTCGAACCTGACAGACGAGCAAGTAGCGGTTCTGGCCAGCTACGACAACGGCGGGAAGCAGGTGGTGTGTGACCCTACCTGTTTGGACGGCGTCACCGATCCTCTGCACTGCAACTGTGAGTCGAGGGGGGGTTCGGAGTGGTACTGAATTTTGCGGCACCGCCAGCTAGAGTGTGGGTCTCGGCCGTGAAAATCGCAGGCCAAGGCGGCCAGAAGCAGAGCAGCGCGATACTCAGACAGAGACGCACTACAACAACAAAGAGACCGCCGTGTAGACAGACGATCCACAGAGAGAAAGAGGATCAAGGGCAGACAGAAAATCAATTTCAACGAGAGTGCTGCGAGTGCAGGCAGTTGCAAGCAAGCGAGAGTGCTCTCGACGCGATTTACAAGTTTCCGGTCATCCCATAGCTTATTGGGTGAGCCGTTTCGAGCACCATCCCAACCACCTTTTCCCTGCCAACAATGTGATCTTCTCGTCAACTTTCGCGACGTTCGATACTATTCGGGTTACTTTCCAATCCCTGTCTCTGAAAGAGACTGTATTATGTTTCACCCAGCGTTGGTGTTCCTTTAGCTAAAAGCACCTGACAGCTCTTCCGATGGTTGCAAAGTGCCCGTTCGGACGTTTTGAGTAGTCTTCGATAGTTTCAAAGTGCCCACACAGGTCTCTTGTGTCGCCGACAGGTACAACAACGCCGTCTAACAATTACGTCCCCCCGCTCTCCGTGCTTCACCGCCACATCTCCACCCGCACCACCCAGACTTCGGCCTGGGACAGATCTGCAGGGGCTGTGGCGAATGCTCGTCCTGCGAGCCTTGCCCGGGGACAACCCCCGCGCCCGAAACAACATCCTCACCGACAATGATGCCCGACCTCGGCTTTGATGATCTTTTCACTCCGAGCCCCGTCACGCCCGAGACACCCGCGCCTTCCGCTAAGCCGGTGATGCACACGCCCTCCCCCGAGACGCCAGAGACCACACCGCCGACCGTTGCCGAGACGCCGGAGCCCGAAGTACCTACTCCCTCGCCGACGATGATGCCGCTCGGAGCCGACGGTGCTGTCGACGACGACGAGTGCTCCGTCTGCTCGAACCTGACAGACGAGCAAGTAGCGGTTCTGGCCAGCTACGACAACGGCGGGAAGCAGGTGGTGTGTGACCCTTCCTGTTTGGACGGCGTCACCGATCCTCTGCACTGCAACTGTGAGTCGGGGAGGTTCAGATTGATCTTGAATTTTGCGGCACCGCCAGCTGGAGTGTGGGCCTCGGCCGCGAAGTCCGCAGGCCAAGGCGGCCAGAAGAAAAGCAGCGTGATGCACTGACAGAGGCGCACTACATAGAACAACAGAGACCGCCGCGTACACCGACGACGCACACACAGAGAGGGAAAAACGAAAGACAAAAACACAATTTCAACGAGAGTGCTGCGAGCGCAGGCAGTTGCACGCGAGCGAGAGTGCTCTCGACGCGATTTACAAGTTTCCGGTCATCCCATAGCTTATTGGGTGAGCCATTTCCAGTCTCTCACAACCCCAACCACCTTTTCCCTGCCAACAATGTGATCTTCTCGTCAACTTTCGCGACGTTGTCCAATGCTATTCGAGTGCTTTTTTTATCCCTGTCTCCGAAAAAGACTATGTTATGTTTCTGCCATTCTAGGTGTTCCTATGCTGTAAGCACCTGACTGTTCGCTAGTCAGTCTTCCTCCCTCTGTCGATAGTTCAAAGTGCCCACACAGGTCTCTTGTGTCGCCGACAGGTACAACAACGCCGTCTAACTACTACGTCCCCCGCTCTCCGTGCTTCCCCGCCACATCTCCACCCGCACCACCCAGACTTCGGCCTGGGACAGATCTGCAGGGGCTGCGGCGAATGCTCGTCCTGCAAGCCTTGCCCGGGGACAACCCCCGCGCCCGAAACCACATCCTCACCGACAATGATGCCCGACCTCGGCTTTGATGATCTTTTCACTCCGAGCCCCGTCACGCCCGAGACACCCGCGCCTTCCGCTAAGCCGGTGATGCACACGCCCTCCCCCGAGGCGCCGGAGACCACACCGCCGACCGTTGCCGAGACGCCAGAGTCCGAAGTGCCTACTCCCTCGCCGACGATGATGCCGCTCGGAGCCGACGGTGCTGTCGACGACGACGAGTGCTCCGTCTGCTCGAACCTGACAGACGAGCAAGTAGCGGTTCTGGCCAGCTACGACAACGGCGGGAAGCAGGTGGTGTGTGACCCTTCCTGCTTGGACGGCGTCACCGACCCTCTACACTGCAACTGTGAGTCGAGGGGGGGTTCGGAGTAAAATTGAATTTTCGGCTCCGGCCCGTTGACCTCCGAGAAAAGTGTTGCCCTCGCCACTGCTAGCGACTGTTTCATGTTCCAAAGCGTGCCAAATATTTGAAGACGGGCATGCTTCGCGCCCGCTAATGATCATCCTTAGAATTGCTGGTGGGCGTGAGAGACCGCACGGCGATGAGACAGATGGTGTATTGCGGGGAACAAAGTATCGAGCGAACACGGTCGGAAGGAAAAAGCTAATCGAAAAGAGGGGCACTGCCAGCTAGTCTAGAGCGTGGGCCACCGTGTTAAGATGTACAGCATATCCGCTGACTTGTAGCATCGCGGATATGCTGTGCATCTTAACACACGGCCACGATCATATTCGGTGTCACCGCCTCGGGAAAAACACGCCACCTAACAAAGACCCTCCCGTGCCCACATTTCACCGCCCGAAATCCATTCGCTCCACCCAGACTTCGGCCTGGGACAGATCTGCAGGGGCTGCGGCGAATGCTCTCTCTGCGAGCCTTGCCCAGGGGCAACTCCCGCGCCCGAAACAACGTCCTCACCGACGATGGTGCCCGACCTCGGCTTTGATGATCTTTTCACTCCGAGCCCCGTCACGCCCGAGACACCCGCGCCTTCCGCTAAGCCGGTGATGCACACGCCCTCCCCCGAGACGCCGGAGACCACACCGCCGACCGTTGCCGAGACGCCAGAGCCCGAAGTGCCTACTCCCTCGCCGACGATGATGCCGCTCGGAGCCGACGGTGCTGTTGACGACGACGAGTGCTCCGTCTGCTCGAACCTCACCGAGGCCCAGATGGAGTCTCTGGCCGCCTACCCGGACGGCGGGAAGCAAATCATCTGCGACCCCCGATGCGTCGACGGAAGCTCTGACATCGCCCACTGCAACTGTGAGTCCTCCTCAGCAATCGCCCCCCGTCGTCGAGGCCTGTGTTCGTCGTCTCTGTAGCCGGTCGCGTTCCGTTTCTATATTCTCACACAAGGTACTATATGGGGCTACAAAGTTTGCGCTTGGAAAACGTGAGGTCGAAAGGAGGTAACAATCCGTTTCCTAAAACGACTGCTTTGTAATGTTGAGAATGGTGTGGGGTCACAAATGCCTTGCCAGGCGACCGCAGAATGCTTCGCGAGTAAAAGCGTGCAAGGTTTTCGGTGTACAGAAGGTGTTCTGGTGTGGCATCGCCCTTTCCATCGGTGGGCACTTTTTCCTGCCCTATCCCGCCCAGAAACTGGGCTGGCCCGGTAAATTACAGTAGGATACACCACTTCACGGCGTGAGTCAGACAACAATCCGATCGCCATATAGTTCGTTCGGCCACCGAGTTCCGTCGATACTTCGCTGGGCGAACAACTTTAATTCTGCCCTCCAAGGGGCATGGTCCTGACACGCCCAGTATAGCATCATAGCACGCCATCTTCACCTCCGCTCCCTTTTCCCCTCGCCGTACCTTTTATTCCGCCCTTGCTTCGCGTTCTACCCTCCGCAGACTTCGGCCTGGGCCAGATCTGCCGCGGTTGCGGAGACTGCGATGACTGCACCCCTTGCCCCTAGTGTCCCGCGCGAACAATATACCCGTCACGAATAGATTTGTGATCAGGGATTGTTCTCAGAGCGTTTGTTTCGCAGCGGTGTCTCTCCGCCGAAGTTATACCGAAAAGGCTGCCCTGACGTCCCATTTTCCCGGGGAATGTTTTCAGACGAAGGGAAAATGCCGATGGCTACACGCACTTGTAACAACTACTTTTATGTTTGGATTTGGTTGGTGTTGAACTTTGTTTGGTGCGAACGTCAGCAAGCCGTTACTATCGTAACGCGGGAGGGGTAGTGTAGAGGGAAAGAACACATGCCTATTGAGAGCCAGCCGCCGGTTTTTCGTGGGCGCGGATACATATCATTTTATGGTATTTATGTGGAGGATAGCATTGTTCGATTCCTCCGGCGAAGAGTTCTTCTCCCTGGCGATTCCGCAGATGGTGAGCAAATCAGGGGGGAAGGGCGAGATTATTCTGCGTTGTGCATTTGGCTTGTTTTCACCTTCAAGGGCATCATGCATGCATGTGTGAGGTGTCCTATTTATTGTTTTATCGTTTGACGTTTTGGGTGGATTGAGTCGATTGTCTAAGTCTATTACATTTTTTTTGTGGACTGATGCTTTATGTGTTGGAGTGATGGGAGAGACTTTGGTTAATTCAGTGAAAAGGGGGGTGATTATTTGTTGGAAAGTCTCTTGTCGGCACGTAGCCGTGGGGGTTCCACGTTGAATTTCTTGTGAGGTCGAACGGGAAAGCTACTGTAGGTAGCTTCGATTTCGCCACGGCGATAGCGCTCTAGGCGGAGAGTGGCGTTTGGTTGCTAAGTGTTTCGTAACTACTTGGTTTGTACATAGAAAGGCGCACACAATTGGATGGTGTAATAATGTGGTGAAGGGTTGTGGTTGCAGTTTCAGAGACACAGTCGAATAATGCAATACGGCGAAGAACAATAGCACTGCTATTATAGACGTAGTCTAGATACATTGCGGGCGAATGTCTTTTTCGGAATGCCTGACTGAGTGCCTCTCTCTGTGCCTCCGCTGCCATACGGTAAACCAGACCGACCGATGTTCGGCATAAGCACGACGGTTGGCGTAAAAATTTCGTTCTGGTGCACGGTGAATGCCGCGAGGCCGGCAGATCAAACTCACTAGCAGCCCGTCTCAAGCACGTTGTCTAGAGCAAAACAAGTCGTTCATAACCCCCCGCACAATCCCTCCGAAGTATCCACATCATGTGTCCGACATGTATGTACACCGCACCACACAAAACCGCGGGAATTGCGCAAGGTAGATCGTTTTTTGTTCTCCACGCGGATGAAGTGTTTTCCTCGCCCCTGCTTCGGGCGCTTACATGTTCTCTGCGGATGGATGCAAGTAAGGACCGCTTATCCTCCCCCCGGGCACGGGTGGCCAAAGCAGGTTGTATCTGGTGCACAACCTCCCCACAACCTCGCTAGGGTCAGGTTGTACGCCGACATATGAAGCTAGCCCCGCATCACAGATTGCGACGTTGGTCCATTCAATAGGGCGGACGGGCAGCGTAGACTACATGTTGTCCAAGGTCGATCCCCAACGTCCCAACCTGACCCCGGGGAGGTTGGGCACCACTTACAACCTCCCTTTGGCCACCCGTGGGGGTTCGGCACGGACACACCTAACAATTAGAGGTACCGGCACTGTGCCAGATAGCGACAATTTGTACAGAAAAACGCTTTTTTTGTCTTTCGTACCCCTTGAATTGCTTTCGAAGAAGAACTACACCGCTGTCGTCGTCGTTGGAGGGGTTATTTTGTTGTTCATCCCAATGAAGGCACATGAGGTAAAAAACCACGCCAAGCGACAGTTTGTACAAAACATACCCACCACACGTGAACGGCCTTTCCCCATGTCGGCAACGTTGAAGGTGATAGATGGGGTAGACAGACTCGTGCAGAAAAACCAAGACCTCCTCCTACGGCTTGCTGGATACTTCCGAGGCATGCACGCGTCACGAACATACGTTTGAAACGAGCCAATCGAGATACAGCGGTAGCAGTCCTCACATTTCTCGGATGGTAGTAGGCAATCTCCCGTCAAGACAACCTGTCTGCGCAGACACGGATAGCACCAACAAGACGACCCTGATAAGTACTGTTTCTCTGACAATCATCAAGGGTGGGGAGGAGATGACGACAAGTTACACAGACAAATTGCATCGACTGAACAGTAACAAAACACGAACACGACCCCGAAACACCTGCAAAACTGGAGCGAAAAATACTGTCACTGCTGTTGTCTTGGCTTACACGCCAACAGACCACTCCTTGCACTCACACACATGCGATACCACTATTATACTGAACATACTTTCAACTTGCCAGAGAATAGCACTATACTGAACACATTCCATTTCGCTGGAGAATAGCAGCAAGCCACTCGTGATGCCGTAGATTACCACGTGGACGGAATAGTTGTAATTCGTGTTTTGAAAGGCGTCTAACGACAAGGAAGGGCGGGATCGACTTTGCCGTAGCTGAAACACCCCCCTTCAACCACGCGTGAAGGTCACCCACACAGTAAATCTCAATGGCTCATCGTGACATAGACTCCGGACACTAATAACTTCATCCACACAGAACACGTTGTTAACACACACCTCCGCACAAACAAAAAAAATAAGTGATGTCCAGGCTTGCCTGCCAACTTGGCGGTCGAACGTCGTTCCGGGCGTGCGAGCCTACCGGCTATTGGCACAGCAGCACATAACTGGTGGAAAGTTCATCCTCCTCTGCAACGGCAACGGCTGCTTCGTGTGCAGCGGGCACGCCAGCCCTCGTCATGCTACTGCTACGCCTTGGAACTCACTCTAGAAAAATAACCAATGCTCCTCCTATGGCTCCCCCGCGATAAAAACTGACGCTCCCTTGCTTCGTTCGATGGCTCCGGGCGTGAACGACAACCGCACAGAACCCCGACGAGAAACTCTCAACATTCCACCCATGCCAAGGAGACGCGTGGGGATAGCGTAAGGCCACGCACTAACGAGGCCTGTCCACAGAAAACTATACCAAAGACAAGCTTCACCACGCTCTAACCGGCCCCGTACCGAAAATCAGAAGGTCGGGAGCCTCGCCCAGCGACTCTGGCGAGCCGCGGCTGATGCCTTAGCCTGGGCAGGCGCTGTCTTATCTCCCGCTCCCCTGGTTGCCGCAGGCGGTTGACTCCCAACGGGCTTAGCGTCAGACCTCTCGAACGGCCGGAAAAACTCAGCGCTCGGCTCGAAAGATTCTACGCGGTCCCGCCGGAGCCCGTTCATATAGTGAGCGATGACGTCCTTCCTGCTGCGCTTCAGCAGACCTCCGCGGCTCACTTCGCTCTTTTCGCTGCCAGCACCTCCGCCTCTCGCGCGATTAAGGCCGCCTCCGTGCAAGGTCCCTTCGCTGGAGATGCCGATGAAGCCAATCGCGTCGCTACCGCCGCTGCCGAGGCTATTGGAGCCGCTGCCGCTGCCGCCGCCGCGGGCGGTAGACGCGGCGACCAGGCCGGCCGGCGAGCGCACCGACGACAAACCCTCAGGGAAAAAGCTGATCTTCGCGTCGCAGCCCAGGGCACCGAAGCTCCTGCCTGACTCCCACTCAAGGGTACCGCTCGACAGCGACCTGAAGGTTCTTGTGAAGGAGGGGGCGTTGTCCAGATTGTCGAGAATCCCGGGTTCCGAAGGCGACACTTCAGCCACGCGGCCGGTCCCCTCATCGCCGCCGGGGGGCGTATCGCCCGCGGTCGCCGGCTTCCGGGAGACCCTTGCGGGCGTCCCGAACAGCCCCTCGGTAGAAAACTGCTCCTTAATCTTGGGCTTGAGGGTCTCTCTCCGGCCCCCACCGGATCCCCCGGCCCCGCTCTTCGACATCGCCGCCGTGGATTCATTTTCGTGCGCAGCCGGTTTGGTAGGGTTAACCCCGCTGCCGCACGCCGAACTCTTCCCCGACATCGTGGAGCTCAGCGGGCTGAGGATAACCTGCGCGTTCGGTCGGCGCTGCCACGGAGAGGGGTACGATGTCACGGCGCCGGACGCCGTCCTTGTTGTGATTTCTCCCGCAGCAGAAGCAGCTGCAGCAGAAGCAGCTGCCGCAGGAGCGGTGCTACCGCCGTCATCGCGGGAGAGGTCTGTGGTGTTGACGGGCGACGGGCGAAACCTCGCTGTCGCCTCGCCGCCGGTAACGGCAACAGCGCCGCCGCGACCGGTCGACGCCGCGGTTGTGTCGATCTCGTCCCACCACGACCCTTTGCCGAACGGCTTGCGGCCGCCGCGGCTGCGCGGCTTGGAGTGCAGGCAGGCGTCGGTGTAGGTCGGCAGGCACTCGTCACGGCCCCGCGGGGTTCGGCTTCCCCTGAGCGCCGCCGCCTTCGGGAGTCGGGCGGCAGCGGGGAGGTCGTCCGCGGCTCCCACGGTGGCCGACCTTCGGTACCCTGTGGAGGCCGCTGTCCTAGCGCCAGTAGGCCTAGCGGTGCCGGTAGGCGTAGCGGCGCCGGCAGGGCTGCTGTCGGACGAGCGACCTCTAGCGGCAAGCGGCGTGAATACGGCGGAGGGGCTGATGGCAGGTCCGCGGCCGGTGCCCGGGGTGTCGGCGGTGGCGCCCCACGTGTCCTTGTTGTACTCCACGGTGGCGATGGAGGGGAAGGAGGACTCCGTCAACATGTGGGAGACGTCGGCGCTGCCTCCGTGACCGCTGCTCACGGACCGCTTGTGCCTGCTCGCCCCCGTCGTCGTCGTTTTGGGCTTGGTATTGTCGCGGTGGCTCGCCTCCGCCGGCTTGTGGACCGAACCGGCATCCGCATGGGCTTGGGACAATCCTTCGTCCGCCGCGGTAGGCCCCTTCCCCTCGCCCTCGTTAGAGCTACCGCCAGTGCGGGGCCGCTGGTCACCCATTGTCTGGACGGCGCCCCCCCCGTGCCGTACGGCTTTCTTAGCCGCCGCATTATCGCCGACGCTGCGAGGACGCGATTGCTTAACCTGGGCGTCCTGGACGGGGAGAGAGTGGGCGTGACCCCACTTCTTCGGATTAGCTCGCGACCGAATCCTGTCCTCTTCTCCCGCAGCCACCTTGTTGGGCGTCGCCGCTTGGTACACCACCGTTGACGGGGAAGCGTCCCCTCCGGTGGAAGATGTCCAAGAATTGCTCCGCGACACTTCTGGCGATGGGCGGCCCTTAACGCCTCGGACAGATAAGTCGTCTCGGCTACGGCCGGCATCGGCCTCTGGAACCACCTTGCGCTTCGTGCCCGTCGGGCTCGGAAAGAAGCTGCTCCTAGCCTTCGGCAACGGCCTCTCCCAGATCTCCCACCTCTTGCCCCGTTCTGCGGCGGCCCCCGTGCTAAACGTACTGGGACGGTTATTTTCGCGCAGGCTCTGAGGATTGTTGATCATCTCGTCAAAGCCGCGCGTGTCGCCACCCCACGCTGGGGCGTTGCCGTACCTGAGGTATCCCCGATAGTGCCCGCCGTCTCGCGCCTCGTCCACATCGCCGTCGGATAAACTGCCACCCCGCTTCGACACGAAGGCTGTGTCGTCGAGGTTAGCGAGGGCGCCGGGTGTCTCCACGAGGTCCCCCCAGCCGGCGAAGATCAGGAGGCCCTGTAAGACAACCACCAGGAGCATGGCTGCGTGCGCAATCACGAGGACGCCGGAAAAAACCTAGAAAAAAAAAAAACGTGAGGGACGGTCCGGTTTGCGTTCGGGTGTACGCGCCAGCAGAGTAGAAGGAGGGAGGAAAAGGTAGAACCTGGAACTATTGGGGTATGCGAAGAGTTGAGAGTCCGAGCGAAGCAGACGTAGGAGATACTGGGACTGGGAAGAAGATGGCCGCTGTCGATCGAGCGCCCTGTGCCACCTTGCCAGCTTGCATCAAACCATGACCCCGGGTTGGACGACAACCTAAACTGCGCAGCCAGAGAACTTACGTGCAAAACCGTGCTGTACCTATCTACCCAGCCAGACACTTCACGCGCAAACCGTGCGGTAAATGTCTATTCCAGTCAAAGACTTGACGCGGAAAAGACGTGCTACATCTATCTACCCCCCCATGCGACGTCGTTTTTCTCTTTACCTCTTGACTCTGGTTGCGCTCGTCGGAGACATCAACCCGCAGCAGCAAGGCGAGGTACATGCTCGCGAACACCACGTAGTGTCCGGTCCGGTAGAGCCACATCTCGACGGGCCGGGCGAACGGAGAGAGGAACTCGGACACCACCATGAAGACGATCGCGAGGAGCAGGACTATCGCCACCTGTGCCGAGCTGTCCGGGTAGATGAACACCGCGAACCCGGTGAGGGCGATACGCCGGAAGCACTCCACCACCTTGACAAGGGTGGGTGTGGAGGGGGGAGAAGGGAGGCATGTCAACGGACGCGGGGCGGCAAGGGAGACATTGTGAGGAAGGCGTCGAGGGAATCAGTCAAGATACGGCGGGGATTGAACCGCATTAGAGGTCAACTTGCGTACTCAAAACAAACCAAGGCCAAACTAAAGCAAGGGTCTCTTGCGCGGTCAGTCCGCGAAGAAGATGAAGACGGCGTGCTCAACCGCGACCTAAAACAAATCCCACCTCGTAGTAGTACGTGCTAGGCTTGTAAGGCTCCCACAAGTCCGCCGCCGGCTTCAACACGGCCCTTCTCTCGCGGCCCTCCTGCTTCAGCTCGTGGCGGTGCTTGAACAGCCACCAGCCAAAGACACACGGGATTCCCACAGGATAAACCAGGATCATGAGCCCGGCGTAGACCCGGTACGCGGTGTGGGTCTCCGTATCGCAGGTCAAGGAGTAGTCGGAGCGGAGGTATGAGTTCCCGTCATCGAGGGGGTCGCAAACGAAGGTCTCGAAGATGGTGTAGGAAACGGTGGCGTAGATGACGAACATGATGAACAGGGCTACCGAGAGGTGTCGGTGCTTGACGACGCCCATAGCCTGCCCCCAAGGTTGTTGCGCATCCGTTTTTTTTATTTGAAGAGCGTTTGGTCGGATTGAGTGGAGACAGCAGACGAGGGCAGCGGACGACATGGGGGAGGAACCCCCGGTGAAGAGTAAGTTTCCACTGATTTGTTAAGAGAAAACGACATTGACGCCGGGTGAATGGTGGGCTGTGACAGGCGGGCTCCACCCCCAGCGGTATCCCGTAGGTGACGCAAGATACCACACCCCCTGAACCGATCTTCAAAGATCCACTACCCCACGACGAAGGGGGTGCGAAAACGAAATGAGACAGACGTGGTCGGAATCGACGAAACGGCTCCAACGCCGACATTTTCGGCACCGGCAAACCGTTTTTTCGCCGCAGAGTCAATCGAGAGTCGAAAATCGGTCTAGGGGGTGTGATAGCTTGCGTCATGCAAGATCTAGGGTACACCACTGAGGGCCTGTCCAATCGCCAAAACATGCACCGCCTGGCACACACCTGGCAAGGAAAATGCCGACGGAAATCACGCCGAACAAACTGTTCGGTACAAGACACAACAGGGTACATACATCCTGGTCGAAAAGCGACTCACATGGTTGAGTACCATCATACCATTCAACACCGTCAAGCGAGCACAGCTGATTTGGTCATTGTCCCCTTTTCACGCGGCCGTGGCCCAAAAAGCCCGCCCGGGGTAAAACCACAGTTGGCCGGCAAGTCATCATACCTATGTACAGCTAGAGCCACCACTTGAGAACCTGCTGTGTTGGCCGAGGCTCGTGTCTTGTTTGCCTCTACGGGGTAGACTACCCCCACCGCGACTATGTAGGTTTTAGTGTGGGATTCTTGACTATATAGGTTTTAGAGTAGCCTTCTTGACTGAGCACCTGTTCTTGTGGTGGAGGTTATTCTTATGTCGAAGATTGAGGTTCAAGTTTCTCGACTACCAAGTTCTCAAGTGCGGGCCAGTTCTGCACCTCTTGGGAGTGGCGGTTACGACTACCTCTTCGCAGTGACGGTTACGACTACCTCTTCGCAATGACGGTTACGACTACCTCTTGGGAGTGGCGGTTACGACGACGAGCCACCAGGTAAGTGCAGCCCAGGAGGCCGAGCACGACCGCGGGGCAGATCGTCGTCAGCAGCAGCCGGTCGTAGAAGTCGGTGTCGCACACGCACGCCAGGGAGAGGATGAAGCCGAGGTCGAGGTTGACGACGTCGACCACCGACAGGAAGTCCTTGTACGCACCCGGGTACTCGACGCCGGCCACGTCGGAGTACTGGAGTTGCAAGGCAGGAGGCGCGCGGGGGGGGTATTCATGCACTAAGCGGCTAGACCATTGACCACACGTCCTCGAAAGGACCGAGCATAGTACTCATGTTTTGCATAACTCAGCGGTTAGACCATTGACCACGCGTCCTCGAGAGGACGGAAGGGGAGGGGAACGCCGCTATTTATCCCTGCGAACCTACGCGCGTGAGCTGCGAACAGGGGCTCATCTTGTACCTTCGTCGTATGTCTGGGTCAAGGGGGCACTCGGGGTAGTTCGTTCATATCCAAAGCGACCGGAACGTTCTGGATCTCGTCTCTCTTGTTGTTGACACGGTACACGGTACTTGTGCAGCGGAAAGCTCGCGGCCACGAGAGCACGTTGCCCTGCCCTTGAAGGAGCGGATGCGTGCTGGATTGGATGCTGCCCCCCCTGTTTCCAACTCCAACAACAACAACAACAACAACAGTAGCAATGACTCAGGCGAACCCTCACCGCGACACAGCCCCCCCCCCCATCCCCCGGCTGCCGCAACCACCGTGCCGTGCCGTAAGCAGGCGTGCTCGCCTTCGTCTACTTGCTACACCGGCACAGTCCCATGATCGGCAATAAACATCTTTCCGGCACACACACTTTATTGCTACCGTCTTCGTCTTGAACCCGGAGAGAAACTTAGCTTCACCCATGACGCGCCCTCACACCAGGTCACTGCCTGCAGAACCCTTTCTCGTTTTCAGCCACACGTCTTCTCAACGGTGACGAACATACCTGCGTGACGATCTGCCACACCACCACGACGATCTTGATCGCCGTAAGCGGCAGAATCTTCTTCATGCGCGCCTGCCACACCGACCGTTTCTGCTGCCAGCGGCTCGGGGCCTTGCTCGAAGGCGTGGTCTCCACCACCGAAACCAGCTTGGCCGCCATGAAAACGACGGCCAGAAGCACCAGCACGCCTACCGCGGAGACTACGTAGAACGCCCTCCGACGGCTATCCCCCATGCAGGACTTGCACGAGTGGAAGTATCCCGGGGAGAAACCGGCCGTGCACACGGCGCAATCTGTGCAGGGGGGGGGGGCGGACACATGTGTGCGTACGAGGCGAGTCGCGTAAAAAAATACAGACACGTCAACACACTCAGCAAAGGCCGAAATAGGATTTTCTGAGTGCGAAATAACAATACTGGGCCCTGTCCATGGGTACAAGCCCACACGAAATCGACGTGTGCTTCTCACATGGCCCCGTGTATCCCGCCGCGCAGTACTCTCCGACGACCTTGCCCCCCTCGCACGCGTCCTCATAGAAACACTCCCTGATGTCCGTGCTCGTGGCCGAAGATCGGTAGTAGCCCGGCAGAATCTCCAGCGTCGCTAGGGTGCCTCCTGGCAACACAAGGAGAGGTAAGAAGACAAGAAGCCGGAACGGACGCGCGCGCGGGAAGGCGGGGTTCAACACACATGGAAGCACCTGGGGAACCGTAGAAAATACGGGTTGACAAATCAAGCATGCCAAAGAGAAAGAGCAACGCTTGGGGAATCGCAGAACTGAAGGTTGGTCATCAAACAACCCTACGAATGCATTACTGATCTATCCGACCCAAACTTGTTGTCTGTGGAAGAGATGAATTTGTTGTGTTTTCGTAGGAAAAAAAAAAAAAGGAGGAAAGTTCTTGGAACGTGCCCCGTGGTTGAGGGTTAAGAGGAAGTGGGGAGTGGCTCCTTTACAAGGCCAAGTTTCGATATCAGCGTTCGCAATACATGGAGGGTGACTTTGGCTGTCGTGTCCAGCGCAACCGTTTGTGGAACCAAACGGTATGGATTTGTCTCCCCTTTCTCCGACCCTGAGCCAAAACAGCAAAGAAAAAACCGTAATGACCACAAGCAAGCGCCCCGCGTCCACAACCCCAACATCAAGCAGCTATGCTATTTTTCGCAACAAAGTGCTTATCTAACGTCATGTCACTGAAGCGATCACGAGAGCCGGCTATACACCCTTTTCCGTGGTTTTTTTTCCCGGTATTCATCATCAGCGGTTGAAGCGCGTGTCCTCTAGATATCTACCTCGCGGGGGGCGAACGGGTACCTGCAGTACAACCAGGTCCAATGTCAAAGCAGAGCCAAGGTCTCTCCGAATCATTTTCGATTGCCGGGGGATCGGTAGTACAAGCGCCACCATCCCGCACGTGGTGGACACAGCAGCTAACTCAACTGGAGTGGGTTTGCCACGATGGACTCTCGTTGTTGGCGATCGGTACAAACGTCATTCCATGGACACAGCAGCTCTCACACAACCGTAACCCAATTTGAGCGGGTTTACCACTACGAACATGGCAAGACACAGCTGCAAACATAACCCAACACCGTGTTAGAGCGGGTTGGCCACTGCGAACGAGCTGACCTCTGGATGTGGTCTGGGCTCCCTCGGGAACGGCTTCGCACGCGGGAAGTAGGTCCGGGTCGGCGACGGTGACCTCATCCTCCAGCTCGCTGGCGCACTCGCTGGCGCACCTCGAGCACACGAGGCCGAAGCGGCACACGTCCTCCCCCTGGTAACAGCGGCGCGTTGCACACAACACGCGGAAATTGACGGTGTCTCTCAGTGGGTCAGAAAAAAGCAAGGTAAGTGCTCGAATGGGTACACAAATAAATGCACTCGCAACAAACAATTGATATTTCGTGGAAAGTTTGAACTTGTCGCGTTTCGTCCAGGCGGGGGCTACCGTAAAGACTGAGCGTTGTCGCACGGTCCGGCCCGGAGTAACCGCGCGGTTCTGGAGCTATCCCACAAGGCTCACACGCACCTCGATTTCGACCTCCGTGCTGAACGTTCCTTCCTCGCAGTAGAAGCTGTTGCCGTCGAAGGTAACCCGTCCCATGTAGCCCAGCAGGCCGAGACTGACGACCGCGGGGCCCTCGTTTCCCGCCCCGTTGCCCTCGAAGGTGGTTCCGGAGATCTCCTCCATCACCCCGGCGTGTACGAGGGCGCCGCCCGAAGAGGCCGCCATGTTGTGGAAGAAGGTGGAGTCCTTTACCATGTCAAAACCCGCCACAGAATCTGAACAAGAACAAAAATAAGGGGGGAGAGAAACGAACGAGGGGGGCGCAGGAGATGAGCTGGGTTGAGAGCTGCCGGGGTAAGACAGATGGGGGGAGGATGGCAAAGGCCCGTGATAGTGTGGTGGTGCCATCCCAGGTCACCACCACCACCACCACCACCACCAACTGGCACTTCATCAAACACGATACCACTACCATCCTCATCACCACGAAGAAACAACATACCACCACCACTACCAACAGCTGTCGATTCAAAATCCAACACAATTGTACCGATACAGTACCATCCAATAGACAAACGCCACCAACAACCGTCGATGCATTAGGCACGTTGCCGTTACCATCGCCATCACCACGAAGAATAACAAAATACCACCACCACTACCAACAGCTCTCGATGCAAAATCCAACACATTGTACGGGGCGGGTTCCGAGGTAAGACGACAGCCCCTTCCCACCCTCGGAACAAGAACAAAAAGAAATTCGACTTCGTAGGTCGCTTTGAAACGACCAAAAAAGACGCTAAAGAAAAAGTTCAAAAAAAAAAAGTCCCCCTTCGACCTGTGCTCGGCCTGAAGTTTTTTCTCTGCATTCCCGAAGTTTGTGCTCTGATAACTCGGCGGCAATCGCCTCCTCTTGGTCGAATTAGGGGGGGTAGAGCCACTCAAAAAGTTGCTCCGACAAAAAATGAAGGTGGGAAAAAAAAGGTTCCAATATGGCTTGTTTTCCCTATAGGGCGGGTTCCGAGCTGAAGTCGCCAAATTCCTATTTTTCCCACAAAGTGGCAAGGAATGAGTTTCTGTGTCTGAAATTTTGCACAAACTTCCATTAGGTCATGGGGATCACGAAAATATCATTTTGTTGTGTGGGGGTCATGAGTAGTGGTAATTTATGCACGAATAAGTGGAGCAAATTCAGGGAAAATCGCATCCGCGGCCCCCCCGAGGAAAATAACCTCACCGAATCGAATGAAATTTTCAGGGGTGATGGACATAACACTGCTGAACACGTTTCCGAAGTCAGGAACGTTAAGCAAACATCCATGTGCTACTTACACCCCTTCAAAATATATGATTTCAACCAGCCGAAGCTTTCCCGTACTACGGGTCAGTTATTAATAGTACCATCCAGAAAACAAATATATCACCAACACCAACACCAACACCGAACAACCGTCGATGCACCATCCAACAGCACAACGTATACCTACGCCTCTCTCGAAACCGCCCAGGCCACTCACAGATAGCCCCGCCGTCCTCGGAGGCGTGGTTCTCCTCGAAGACGCAGCTCAGAAACTTCGTGGGCGCGGCGGTGCTGCTGGTGCCGCCGCCGCCGCCGAAAGAACCCCCTTCTTCGCCGCCAGAACCGCCGGCGTCGGGGTCCACAGACAGCGAGGTTACGGTCGTGGCGCCTCCCGCGGTGGTGGTGAGAGAAGGCGTCAGGTCGTCCGGGTCGTATCCGCCGCTGCTGCCGCTCGTCCGGAAGGGGGTGCTGGAGCTGGAGGAGGAGGCCGCCCCGCCGGAGGAGAACGATGCCACGGCGCCCCCCCACACGGCGGCGTTGCCGTCGAAGTTGGCGTTCTTGAAGGTTGCCTGGAGGGGGGCAAGCGGCGGGCGGATCGATTGGTGGGGTCTAAGCGAATATTTTTCAGCCGGCAAAAAGCTAGAGCCTGAACAGGACCCCGAGGCGGTCCCTACCGATAAGTAACTTTCCCCAGAATTTGAACAGCGACGCCCTTGGAACGACCTTTCTTCAATCGGCCTTTCCCCGTGCGTCGATGCGTCGAGCATCCAGCTCGTGAGGCGGAGTGAAACGTGCCCCGGTGCATATCTTAGTTGGTGGTAGTAGCAAATATTCAAATGATAACTTGGAAGACAGAAAGAAGTGGAGAAAAGAGTGACAAGGGAAAGACGGAAGTCCCGTGCTGTCATGTACGTGTGCGTCCTCCACCTGATGCCATCTGGCTTCCTCATCCGTCAGCTACCCTGATACAACTCCATTGGTTTCATCTCGGGGGGGGGCGGGGGGGCGTACTCTCATGTTTTGCATGCCTTAGCGGGTAGACCATTGACCACGCGTCCTTGAGAGGACGGAGCATTGTTCCCACCGGACCGATCACCGATGGCCGATTGTTCTTTACTACTTCACCAGAGGTGGCTCGGCAAAAAGTTCTCCCTAACCTACCTATCCTATCGATGTCACTTCCCGCCTCTTCAGCCCAGTTACAATGCCCCAGTACAGCTACCGTCTTCTCCTGGCTATCCCGTGCCTCGAACATCTCGTTCTACCTTTCTGCATATTTCTCAGCTCCCATCAAAGGGGGGGGGCCTACAGACAGCCCCCTAGCCGCTAGCTGCTGTCGTACCTGTGGGACGTTGGAGCTGTAGATCGCGCCCCCGGACCCTTCAAGGGCGGTATTGCCGAGGAAAATTGGCTGGCCCGTGATGAGAGCATACTGGGCGAGAGTTAGGTGGATTGCACCTGTTGTGTGATTTTCAACGTACACACATGGGAGGAGAGGCCACTGTCGTGTGCTGGAAATGGTGCTCGCTCTGAAAATGTGGACCGCGTATCATGCCTCAGGGCATCACGCTTCCCGAACCAACCATTTTCCAGCGTTTCCGTAACCCGTTCCCCACCAAAACGTGGAGACGGTGCACAAGTCTCAGGGCGTGTTCACACGCTCACCGACACCGACCAATCAGCTCTCGTGAAGGGATCTCGCGGTTGCCGAAAGAACATGCTCGATTGCTCTGAGGAGGCTCTCGTTTGTGGTCCTGACCGATGAGCGTGACCCACCGATCGATGAATACATCCGGGCAGAGAGTACTTCTCGTATGCACACAGCTGCTGGACAGCAGTGGGATTAATTCGAGCCTGTTCCCCATAGGGCCTGTTTGAGTCTGTCTGACCCGATACACTCAACTAATTACCTCAGTTTCCCCCGGCCGATTTGTTCCGGTACAGCTGCTGGACGCACGGCATATTTTGAGCCAATCTAAGCCCATAGGGCTTATTCGGGGGGCCTATTTAAAATCCCTACACTGAATGATGAATTACCTCCGTTTCCCCTGGCCGAGTTGTTCTCGTACAGCTGCGTGCCCGACAGGGCGACGGTAACGCCAACGTCGGCGTACACCGCACCTGTTTGTTGATTGGTGGCAAACAAGAAAGAAAAAAAGAGGAGAAAATGTTGTCGAACACAAGAAACTGACGCTTATCGCGAATCGGAAACGGATATATATAGATGCCTCATGATCTGAAACCCGGGGTCGCCAAACGAAGAACCTCTAATATTATTTAGGTCATTCGGTGGAGATCGTGGCAGCTGTAGCAAGTCGTGTAAGAGAACAAAAGATGGAAGAACAGTATGGTAGGTGGTACATACGCGTACCACATCGTAAAAGAGAGAACACCAAGCGCGCGCGTTCGCCACCGACCAAGATGTGACGACATGCACAGAACACAGACGTCTTGGAACAGGGGTGCAAACGTCGCGAGGAGGACTACGGTCGGAAGTTATGATTCGGTGAGGTCGACGGAACAACATAGTTAGTGGGCGTGGGGGATGGATGTAGGATGATCGCGTCAAAATGGCAATGCGGCACAATCAAACGCTGGTGTGCTCCCGCCTACCAACAACCCGAGTGATTTTATTGGAGGGGAGGGCAAAGACTTGCCCAGCCAGAGAGGGGTTTGCGAAGCCGAACAACGCTTGGCGGCATGTCTCGCAACGGCGTCAAGAACGAAAAGCGCCGCCATCGACCCCGTCCCCACGGAGAAACCGTCAGAGCTCGAACTCGTTCAGGAGGGGGGGAGTGCTCATGTAAACGCATGCGGTAGGCCATAGACTTCGCATCCGTACAAATGCCGAGACGGAGCGACGCGCCGGGTTTTCGCCGACCCAGGCTAGGTTTCACAAGGATCAGCCAAGCTGCCATCCTTTCGTTTGCCATGCCTAGTCTGATAGGGGCATCCCGTCCAGCCAAGAGTTTCAAATCTGCAAGACCATGCCTAATCAGATAGGGGCATCCCGGCTAGTCAAGAATTTCACATTTGGCAGGCACGACTATGCTTCCAAGCGCCCCAAGAGAGGGGGGGGGGGGGGGGTACTCATAGTCGTGCATGCCGTAGTCGTTAAACCATTGACCTCGCATCCCTACAAAGCCGGGACGGAGCACGCCGGGTTCTCACCGGACCAGGCTCTCACATCACCAAGCGCGAAGCGCCGTGAGGTATTTGGCGAGTCGCATGAAGGGTGAGCTGCATCCTGCTAAGGGTGTTTGGCATCTTGTGCTTACTTCCTTGCGTACGTATGACAGCTGCATATGACTTAATTTATTTTCTGGTGCTTTCACTTCCAGAGACAGTTGTTAGCACTGTGTAACTGTCTCGAGGATGCTTGACCATTTTAACACAACGTGGTGTGATCATCCCCCTTGCGCGGAGTGAGGGTTCTCCACCCCGCACAACATG